GTTTGTATTTCAAGTATAGGTTAAGAAACTTAGTACTTGCATAAATTATACTGAAAAACGTACTAAGATTGGTATTGTGAGACAGACATTTTGAAATTGTATTGAAAGATTAACAAATTTATCAATAACCAAGATCTCCCCAAAATAAATTACAATAAACTACACATCAAAAGAACTGCTATTCCAGAAAACCAGAAATAGACATGGATGGTATATAATAAGAATTTGGGGAATATGGAATTTATCCATGAGTAATGAGAAGAGCTTATTATTTTAGAATATCAATGCTCAAGTGTGCTATAAAAGGTTTTCCTCAAAAGTGATATCAACTGCATATCCCACAGATGCTGATTATGTACAGTACTGTTTATATCAAAGTGTAAAATGTAATCAAAAGTTTACAGATCCAATATACTTAAAGATAACAATACAAGGGCTATTCATACCTAGAAAAAATTAACTTAAACTTTGATTCTTGATCCCATTACAAAAGCATACAATAAAAGCATTAAGTGAAGTACCACTGACTATATGAACTGGCTATAATTAAGTCCTTTGGCCTCACAACATGCAATCTACAACATGCACAGTCTAATTCAAGCACTATAACATGTTTTTACACAAACATAACCCTCAACCAATTAAATTATATGAACTACCTCTACTACAAATAAAAACACTACAAAAGCAACTCTTAATAATTAACTTACAGAACTAAAAATAATGTAACTAATAATGTAAGTAAATGTTTTACTTTGTAAATTAGTATCCACTGATAGGGTCTTAGAGAATTTAATTTACAAGTCCAACATCAATTAATAATTGGCAAACAAAAGACAATGCAAGATGGAATTAAAGCAAGAGAAAATTTCATTCTAAGTGCATTTCAGAAAGTTAATAAAAAACATGGTATGAATCATTTTTAAGATTTTTTAGTGTAACTTGGTAAGCATTTATTTGCACATTAATATTATTTGCCTAAAATAATAAGCTGATTTAACAAAAATCATATTAAAATTATCCACAAGACAATGCATTTAAATATAGCATTAATAAGCCAGATATTACATAATATTTGGTATTTGAGCACTTCTTCAAAATAGGTATCATCAATTTATCTAGAATTAAGCTGATTTGGAATGACATTAAGTAATATTGTACAATTAATATTTTTACATTAATCATTAATTTTAATTTCGTTAGGTAAATGTCCTGGCTTAATATAACAAGCATGCTTATACAAGGTATATCTACCCATCTCTGAACATTTCACAATTCATATTCTTTTCTCACTTTTTTTTTTTTTTAAAGACATGGTTTCAGCATGTCTTGAACTTACTACATAGTTCAGGTTGGCCTCAAACTACGAGTGATCCTCCCCCCCCCCATTGAACAGTACAATTACAAGGGTGTGTCACCTTGCTCAGCTTCAAAGTATATTTACTTTTTAAAAATTTTTATTTAAAGAGAAAAAAAGCAAAACAGAAAAAAGGATAACAACAATACAGAATTCTACCCCCCAAATAAACACTAAGAAATCACTAGTTGATAAATTACACTGTCATCTTAGAAATAGTTGTTCAAGTTACAAAATTAAAGCATACAAAGTGGCATTCAAACAGTGAGACTGTAAAGTTTTTCTCAACGATCCAACAAAAACTTAGTAATATGGTCATCTATGTTACACACTTAAAACATGCATGCAGTTATATCCTTTAGAGCAATTCAAAATATATACTCTTACAAAACTAGTTTTTAAAAAATGGAGCAGTTGCTAAGGTGTTTTTTTTTTTTTTTTTTTTTTTTTGTCTTTTTCCTTTTTATCGGTACTGGGGATCGAACTCACGACTGCCTGCTTGCAAGGCAGACACTTATGCCGCTGAGCTAAATCTCCAGGCCCCAGTTGATAAGTTTTTTCTTAACCATTATAACCATATCGGAAAGCAGACTAAAATAATTTTAAATATATCATGTAATCACTAAAGATTGGAAAAAATTATAAACCTACATTGAGTACAAGGTGTAATTTAGTCTTGCTAAACCCTCTCCCTCCAACACAAACATATGTATGACATACTCCTTATTCTATAAAAGTTTTAGTATTAATTATAATTTGTCATTGGTTCATTATTGATACTTCTACCAAATTATTTTAAAATTTTATTGAAACATTTACCTCATAGGAAAAGATTAACTTTGTTTGAAAATCAAAATACTATAAAAGGGCTGCAATGCACAAGGATATTTTAGATGATGCAAATATAAGTTGTGATGTCCTTCTTATTAAAGTCATTTTTATTAATTGAAATTATTAAATGTACTTCCCTTGATGTAATTTACTCAAGCCACAAATGACATGTTTAAGCATTAACTTTAAATGTAAAACTTAACTTTTTCTCAACAGGAATAGATGGGAACATCAGAAATACTTATATTAATAACACTTGTATGCTATGGAACAATGTGTCAATTCATTTTTATGAAATGCAAACCTATAATATTTACTAAGTTAAAGGATATAAAATCATTGTGCAATATGAACACTTCTAAAAGTTTAACCTTAACTTCTGTAGTATTTCCTTAAAAAGCACCGGCCTAAAGAGATTATGTTTCCAGGTAAGTAAAAGCCAATATGCTTTATTATTTTTTATTAGCATATATTTGCAGTACATAGTGATTACATTCATTATGGGAGGTTGGCACATGTATGTAACATGTCTCAATTCTTTTTTGCCACCCTCCTCAATGTCTTAGTTCTCTTCCTTTTTGCAAAAGTTCTTACTCTCAAGAAACACAGAAAGCGAAAGAGAGATCCGCAAGGATTCATAAAGCATATAATACTCACCTAGCCATGATATCTGAATTAATAAACTGTAAAGACATACAATGACAATAACACACTTCCAAACATACACCAAATTCTTTCTAATTTAATTTTCTATGATTTTAAATCTCCTTTTCATAGTTAAAAAAGGCTCAAAGGGGTACAGGCAAGTTAAAACTCATGCTTCTATAGCTTTATTTTTATTTCTGAATTTCTACTAGCCAATAATACAAGACAGATGAGTTGCACAGCTTAGAGTAGCACACAAAGAAATAAGATTATTCAAGCATGTTGGTCTTTCTTGTTCCTTGTAAATAGCAATAATAAAACCATGGAATAAGTGAAATGTGTAAAGTCCTTGCACCATAAAGTGTATTATAGGCCAAACTGAAACAATGATTTATCTCATCTTCAAAAATAACAGAATATATATATAGATAGATCCTATACAAAAACAAAAGGCTGATGGGGAAGCCATGGCTACCGCATTCACTGACAGCGCTGCTGATAGGACTGAAAGAATTTAGAATAACTATGTTATAAATCTTGGAATCTTACTGGAAAGTATGAGGATATCACAGAAGCTCTATGAATTGTTATGAGCAACAGAAATTGAAAAGAAGTGAATGCTTAAGAAGATGACTAGGAAAATTGGTGATAAATTATTGTCCTCAAGCCTAGCCATCACTATTGTTATTTTACGCGCTAATTCTATCAAGGCAGCAAAAAGTTAGAAACTGGTTCAAAGGAAAGACAAACATGTTGAACATCAATTCTTAACATTAGCAAATAGTATTCTGAAGGTGTTAAAAGGCTTTTTTAATATTTGAATGAATCAATTCTTTGAGTGCACAGAAGCAAAATATACAGAATTTAACCAATGACCTTGTCATTATTTTTGAAAACAAATTTTATATCTATACCCGCACATGTTTTAATTAGACTAATATGTTCAAATAGTAATTCAATAATATCCCATAGTGCTGCCCAGTGCCCACATCACACAAAACTTTTTCATTGCTACCAAGAAAAGTGAGACTGTGTTCAATAATGCTGTCAAGGTTAAACCACAGAAACAAACACAAGCAACATTAGAGTAGTAAAGCTGACATCTTCAGTCATAGTTCAGGGCTTCAAGGGAAGAAAAGTACCTAAGATTTATTATTAGCAAATGATTGTGTATATCATGACATGTAAATAAAACATTCATTAACTTTTTTCTCTGGCATAATAAAAGAACCATAATCTAGTCTTAAACTTAGACTCATTCAAGACACCTTGCAATTCAAACAACAAATTCATTTTATTGAACATCTACTTTGGACATCAATAATATCTTAATACTCCATAAAACTGAAAATAAAACTTTGCAAAAATATCTACTAAGAAGCTACTTAACACTTCATATAAATTAATATTCTATTATTTAAATCTAATAGACTCTGTAGCATTACATAGCAAATTCAAATTATTAAAATAACTTTTAAAAACTTGTCTATATACCTTATAAGCTACTAAAAAATACAAATACACATGCACACACATGCACATTTTAGGAATCATTGGCTTCCTATTCTGTTGCTGTATAGCATGTTACAGAAGTTATATAGCAGAAGAAAATAAATATATTCACTGAGAGGGACAACTGTTACTGACAAATATCTGCCTCTGAAAGTTGAGGAAAAGAATGACTATATGAAAAAAAAGAATACAGAGGCTCCTTATGAAACTGTACAAGTTGGGGAATGGCTCTATGTATATGAGACTTACAAAAGCCTATACTTTTTGAAATGACTGATTAAATGATCTGCTGCTATCTTGAAATTATTATTTTTTTCAAAAGGGGACCTACATTTTTCTTTTGCACTGGATAATGCAGAAAATTACAAAACAAATTTTGCCTGGGTTTGAATTATGACTTCACTATTTTATTGTGTAAAGTTAGCTTTTTGCCTTAACTTTTTCATCTATAATGAAGGGATAACTCTCAGCTGATACAGTTGGTGGGAGTAAGAAATACCATTTATGAAATAATGGACACAGAGCCAGACATATAGGACTAAAAAGAGATATGAAATAAAATGGAGATGCAATACTCATTATTACTTCTAGAGATCTGAAGCATAAAATAACCATCAAACATAGATACAGTTAGAACTGAAACTGTAATACTTACAACCCATATATCTGTGGTGCAATTTCTAGCCTGTTTAAGTGCATATAGAGCTCAATATCATGCTTCTTCAGTAGATGATCCTGGATCTGGTTCACTTTAGTAACAATAGCAATTGTTGGCCCTAAGTCCTGTGGTCTGGCAAAGGGGATAGGAGTCATCAGAGTTTCTTTCCCCTATAAAGAGGAAAAATGCATTATTTCAGTATGTATGTGGATATTGCTATTAAATGGAGTTTTAGAAACAATTAAAAAAATTTGTTATTTTATAACAAATGCTTAGAATGCGTGATCTTATACTGATACACAGATGACTGCATTCATAAATGAATGATCAGGAAATTCTTTCTAAAATATTTTCTCTTGTACTACCTTGAGTATGTTCTGAATTTTGGCTAGATGTGGTGTGGATGGCCAACACAAAAAATCCATAACTGGCTTATCTGATGGGTCATGGTAAATAAATGGAAAACTTTGAAGAAAATGTATTTGCTTTTGCATAAAATATAACATGAAAAACAGCAAATGAAATCTGTTTCATTTGGAGTTTTGAGAACTGTATTTTTATTATTATTATTATTATTATTATTATTATTATTATTTTTGGTACTGGAAATTGAACTCACAACTTTGCTCTTGCCAGGCAGGCACTTATGCTGCTGAGCTAAATCCCCAGTCCTGAAAACTATATTTTAAAAAGCCAAGAAATTAATATTACAAAAATGTGTTTTCTAATTATCATTCTGTCCATTTAAATTGCTGAGTAAAATGATTTTAAACTCTCCAGACTAAAAATATAGCTGACTTACAAGTTAAAATCTGTTTTGGGCTCCATCTACAACTTCCTTTCTGGTCATCTATATCTACTCTTAAGAGATATATCATTAACTTCTACAATGTTTTCGCAAGAAATTTCAGTTTTCATGTACTCCCTCAAGTCTGAATACTTGCCCTACGCCTATAATATCCCTCCTTCCTAATGTTCAGTCCTCGATTTCTACCTCTTAATATTACCATTACTTTTTGTGATTTTTGGTCTAGCATGAATTTGTAGATTATATACATAGACATTCTTTCTGATGCTCTTGCATATAGCATTGGTATTTATTTTATTCTCTGTATGTTATCATTAGTGATTTCAACCATACACAGTGTACTTAAGTATACACACACACACACATACACATCTACACACTAGGATAGTAAAGTATATAAAATTTTATAACTATGCAACAATACTTCATGAATCATGTAAACTTCAAAGGAAGTTCCTAGTCATATGAAATCTTTATATTGTCTTTGTACTCAGCCATTAAGCAATATATTCTAGCACCTTAGCTTCCTTGTAATTCTATTACTATTTTCATAATGATAGTTGAATATATTAAAATAAAATGACTATATATTATTGTGTTGCTTACTAAAATCACTTGCTCAGTCAAATACTATATACTGAGAAAAATCTGTACTCTAAGATTTACCTTTTGACTGTCATGTTCAAAAGTAGAAAACCAAGGTTCAGCAGTTTCCATAAGTTGTGAGAACATTGCACTAAAAAGTAGAAAAATAAATAATGTTACATTTAATCTTCATGAAAGCATGATCATATAAAAAGAAAAATATAATAGCTTTTACTTACTAGGCATCATGTTCCAGATATTCAGGGTTCAAGAGAGTTTTCATTTCCTCACTTTGAAAAAGCAACACAAGCAATCAAAATGGGTTAATCTTTTAACAATTAAAGATGCATAGTTTCCCTTACTTTATCTTAATAAGAAAATTCTCATATAATGTGCAAATGAAAAAAATTAGCCTTTGAAATAAAAATAGCTACTCCATTAACAAATGAAATTTATTCTTTTTATAAAGATCAAAAATAAACCAGCTACCTTGTCTGTGCCACAATAAAGTAACTAATTATTCCAAATAACAAATCCAGAATGTGAAATATTTTCCTTGACTATGTTTGATCTAAAATAACTTATTATTCCACAATCTATCACCTGTAATACAAAAGTATTACTGTAGACATACACACACACACACACACATATAGTTACTAGTGGATTATGTAATAACAAAACATTAATTTCTTTTAATGCTTTTATTTTTACTTTATCTTCACTTAGTAAGTGATAGAATCTTTAAGAAATCTACTTTCATGTTGGTTTTACGTTATAATGGATGGAAATAGCTGAAGAAGCATGTCCTGATCATTTTAAAACTATGTTTAATCATCTATACTTTCCTGCATAGTATATTCTGCATGCAACTGTCTTCAAAAATAAATCAAAATCATGCACAAAATCATGATCCAACACTAACTTCATCCTTGTTATTTAGAATAACTAAGTGATAGCAATTTCAGTGCAGTTACCCTTATCAGAATTCAATGAAGTCCAAAAAGATGACAAAACTTAAAACTTTAGCACAGGCCCATCTACACACTTAGCAAAAAGTCAGTGTCATATTAAAAAGATTATACAGCTAGACATGTGAGATACTGTCAGTAGTTTGTTTTCTGCATATAGGTGGATAAGCCTGTGGAACACTGAACAAAGAAAATGGCTCACAATCCTGCAGTTCTCCAATCACAAAACTGTTTCTTGGTTACTTCTCTGGCCAATCGGATAGTTTCTTCTTAGTTAGAAAATGAAATTCAAAAATTACCTGGGTTAAATCCAGTTATACAGTCATTTTCAGGAAAGCATAACTGCATTTATTTGAAAAACAAGAGAACCAAACCGCACGGGAAACACTTCAAGAATCAGTAATCAGGATTTCATCTTATTAAAAAGTTTTTGTACCTCAAAATAAATCACCAAGAGTAAAAAGAAAACCCACAAAATGAAAAAATCTTTTAGCCAACTGTCCCTCAGACACAGGACTTCTATGTAGAACATAAAAGAATTAAAAGAAAATTAGACCCCTCAAAATCAAAGACCTAATCCAAAAACGGGCATCAGAGATAAATGTACACTTTCAGACGATGAAGTACAAATGGCAAATAAATGGCATATAAAAATATGTTCAACATCACTGGTCATTTGAGAAATGCAGACTAAAACAACACAGATTCCATCTCACTCCAGAAAGAATGGCTATCATAAAAAAATCATCCAATAGCAAATGCTGGCAAGGCTGTGGGGAAAAGGAACCCTTCTCCACTGTTTGTGGGAATGCAGACTGGTGTAACCACTGGGCAAATTAGTGTGGAGACTCCACAAAAAGCTAAGATTACATGTGCCCATTCAATCCAGCTATTCCTCTTCTGGGTATTTTCTTAGAAGAACTGAAAACATTCATAGCACAGTGGTATATGTGCATCCATGTTTATAACAGCACAATTTGTAATAGCTAAATCTTGGAAACAGCCCAAATGCGCATCATCTGAGGAATGGATAAAAAGATGTGGTATTTTTATACAATGGAGTACTGCTCATCTATAAATACAGATAAACTCAAGGCTTTATAGGTAAAGGGGTGAAACTAGAGACCATACTTGTAAGTGAAATAAATCAGACTTGCAGGTGGAAAGAAAAAAAAACCATTTTATTTATAGACTAAAGTTCTTTGTAATACTCTTTTATTAATGAACTAAGCTGAATCAAAGCTGGTTGGGAGACATTATTTCATAAAGTTCTCAATTCTGCTTATAATTGAGAAGTGAGAGACTAAAGGCTAGTGTACAGTATATAAATATTATTAATCATTAGCACTTTTGATATTACAGCAAACATTTCCTTTTCTTGATCTATTATATGTCCATCTTTATTTGAAACAGACCTAAGAATTTCAAATATGATATCAAATTTGTCCTACAACTAAACTGGTACTAGAACTATTAACTGGAATTAACAAATAGCCACATGAAACAAAACCAAATTTTCAGAACTTTTAAAATACCATCAATTTAAAAACTTTGAGGTTGAAAAAAACCCTAGCACATTTAGGACTAAAAAAATAGATGAAACTCATAAATACTTGCCTGGGCTGTGCAGACTCACTGGCATGTAGAAAAGCTTGATGGTCACAGTGAAGGATAAAGACTATAGGTGCTAATAGCTCATGCATTCCCTGAAACACAACAACACGAGAAATGAATAGGAAAAATACTGAGAATCCACTAATGGACAATATAGGTTAAGTTCAATCCTTTTTTTCAGGTGGATTCCTGCCACCAAGATTCCATATTACACACTGAACCATAAAAATAAGATTTTTATCTTTTAGAATTTGATTCCAATCCAACCATGGCACATATTCTTTTTTGAAACATGGAGAGAAGCTCTTTTTTAAATGACATGACAAACAATAAATTGGCATTGCAGACAACCTTACACCTGTCAGTTGCTCAAGCTTTGTACTCATAAATATGAATCTTATTTATGTAAATTATAATTATGAACTACAGTATAAGATCTGCACTAAAGAAGGGCAACTAAGAACTGTAAACCTTACGAATTACATCCAATGCTTTCATTACGTAATGGCTCCAAATTAGGATGTCTATAGATTCAGAAAGAGTTAAAGCCACCTAGCTAGGAATGCTGTATAATAAAAGAAATAATTTTTAGCAGACAGTGATAAAAACAAAGTTTTGCAAATGAAATTTTCAACATGTTTAATCATAAAACTCATTTTCCTGCCTCCTTCAATTATAAATTCTAATTTATTTAAAGAGCATATCAATAAAATGCTTTCCCTTATATTGGGGTTCAAATGTGGAATACACAATTAGGCACAGAAACAAAAAGTATAAATGTTAGTTAATACACAATCTTTAAAAATTTCTTCAAAAATTCTATTATTAACTCATTTTGTGGGGACATGAGATCTTATACAACAGTGAACAGTGTTGTAAATTTAGATTTTTCTCCTTTAAACATAAAATACCGTATTGTAGCAAGTAAACATAGATTATATTTTTTGCTACCTCTTGATGTGAGCAAATTACTGCTTTCCTTTTACTTAGTAACTACAGATGCTCTTTCATAAAAAGAGAAGAGAAAAAAATCACACTCTGAACAAATATAAAAATAAATACGGGAGCAAAGAGGAAAGAACTTTTGCAGGTATAATTTGAGAAGGCTTCCTGCAATAGAAGGACAAACTCCATAATGCTTTATGAAATCTAGTAGTACTATGTCAGTCTTAGCCACTTGACAGCACAAAGATAATATGAAATTAAAATTTATCAAGCTTCAGTTGTAAGTTATCTTAAAGTAGAATGACTTAATGGCATTTTTACAAAATAACATGATTCACTGACAATTTGCTTGTGATTTTCAATAAATTTACCATACCCACTTCAGATAACCATTTATTTATTTAACAATTCTTGAAAAGAATGTCCCTGACAAAATAGTAGACATCCAGAAAAGATGAAATCAACTGTGCTCTATTTTGAAAATTATCAAAAGTTTCTCTTCTTGGAAACAATCTCAAGTTATGCTTAAAAGGGAAACACCACAATTATAACAATCATGATAATAGCTACTTACTGTACAGAACTAGAAGAAAACAAAAACAAAGAATGAATCAAGGCAGAAAGGAAAGTAGGTAAAAAGCCAAAAGAGAAAAACTTCAAACTCTATGCTGAGGCAGGAAGTTCCTAAGTGACACGATGTTTACACCTTAGCAACATCCTGTCTCAAAACAAAATAAGCATGGTTGAGATGTAATTGGGAGGTAAAGTGCTTGCCCAGCATATGTGAAGCCTTGGGTTAAAAATTCCTAGGATTACAAAAACAAAAACAAGAAGAAAAAATGACTACCACCACCAATAACAACAGCAACAAAACTCTTAATAAAACATCTTTATGATAATTTTTTTGGCTGTTTCTGATGGTTTCCTTAGAATAAAGTCCTTTTACAGAACTTCTGGGGAAAGTACATTTGCTAGTCTGAGATGTGTACCATTAAGTTACCCACTAGAAAGAATTCACTCAATTGTAGAATATAAAATCACCATCTCGTACATCCTCATCTATATTCACAGTGGTCTTAACAAAAATCTTGTTAAATTCACAATCAAATTGTAATGAATTATACAAGTGTTACTGAGATTGAACTCAAAAATTTTATTGGAAATTTTTATTTAAAGGGTTGCCCATTTCGTCCAAATGTAGTATTTTCTTTTCTCTAATAATTTTCAATAGGTATTTATGAATTAGATGTATTAACACTTGGTCATTTTTGTTATAAGCATTTTACTCTATTATTTCTTTTAATTCTGATAAATCATTTTGAATACACTTGAATAACCAATGTAGGATCCCTTCTTTTCTTCTTCCTTCCTTCCTTCCTTCTGCTGTGAATAAAAATGATATTTCTTTTGTTAGTAGAATAATATATGTAGGGATAATTTCTTTTTCTTCAGTTAATTTTTCCGTTGCTTCATTTTAATTTTTATCATGAATAATATATGATTTTCCCAAAAACGCTTATTGAATAATCATCCAACTTCAATAAATGCAATCTATTCAACAAGTTGAATGGCCCATTTTTCTTCCAAGAATTCTGAAAGTGGTATAATACAAAGTGAATATTTAGCTCACAATTCTAAGATTTTATGTGTTCCAATGGCTTGTACATCCTTAAAAGAACTGTACAATTATAAAGACCTGACCTTAAAAATATTCATTCATTCATCCGTTCATTCATATTCTTTCTCCCTGTTTCATTCTTTCTCTATCTGTATATCTCCACCTCCACCTCCACCTCCATTAGTCTGACCACCAGGGCTTTCCACTAAGCTGCGCCCCATCTAATTTTTACTTTTGAGACAAGGTCTTGGTAAATTGCTCAGGCTGAGTTTGAACTTGCATTCCTCTTGCCTTGGCCTCCCAGAGTTCTTGGATTACAGACATGAACCACCATGCCCAGCAAGACTATGAATTGTGATAAAAATATGGCTAATATTTAATTCTTTACAAGTTATTACAGTATGAAACATTGCCAGTAATCCTTTTCAAAATGCTCTCCTTCATTCTGAATAGACGTATCTTGTTATTCTTGCCAGTTTTTGAAGTTGTTTGTGGAAGTCCCCTTTTGTGCCTTTAGCTGGAGTGTCATGGCTGCCTTGATGTCTTGAGTAGATTCCAAATGTTTACTTTTCATAGTCATCTTGATTTGGAGGAAGAGCCAGAAGTCATATAGTGTGAGATCTGTTGAATAAGGTGAGTGAGGACACACCATAATGTTTTCACAAGCCTGCCTTTAATTTGAATGATACTGGTCAGCAGCATTCAATAATTTTTCATCACTACTCATAATGAAACAGACTTCCAGACACTGATGCATGATAAAAATTGTGTGTAAAGTAAGAAAGAGTATTTTGAAGCAGATTAAGGACAATGTGCCTTTTATTATGATATTTTTCAAAATAAATGCATTCATAGTACAATTTGGTGACTGTTTATAGAAATTTTTAGGAACATAAATACTGGGTATGGTGACAGATACATACTATAGTCCCAGTATTTAGGAGTTTAGGAGAGGAAGACTGTTGATTTGAGGATATCCTGATCTACACAGGTGTGTTTAGAATATGTAGTGAGATGTTGGTCTCAAACCAAATAAAAAAAAATCAAAACTCAACAAAGAACACTGGATATGTGAATCTAAAAGTCTGTTAAACTGCAAAGTTCAGTTTGTTAGCTTATAGGTTTATTACTAAGTATTCTTTCTTTGCTGGTGGTGGTAATCTTTTGAGTTGATCTTTACCCCTGCTTTATAATTGCTTTAACAAGAAAGAATTCTTATTTAAGTGCATCCTTCTGCCTCCTTTAAATGTCCCCTTCCCTCTAGTTTCTGCAACACTACACTTTCTAGATGCTCCATTTATTCAAGTATCTTGAGTCATTTATTTATTGCAATTATTATTGGATACTTATATAAACTATGGACACAAAAATGAATGAGATGGACTGGTTCCAAACTTTTATGGAGGTTGTAGTCTAGAGAGGAGGATACACAATGATAAAATGAGAATACAAATAATTATTATAAATTTATAAACTATGATAAATAGTGCATGCATATATATATATATATATATATATATATATATATATATATATATAGTGTGTGTGTGTGTGTGTGATGCATACATGCATTTTTTCAACTCTCTGTATCCTTGGGTTCTGAATTGATGAATTTGACCATGGATCAACAATACTTGAAAAATAACTTAAAAAATGCATAACAAACATGTAAACTTTCTTGTCATTAGTCCTACATAATAAGGCTTAACAACTATCTAGCACTTATATTGTAGTAGGTAGTATTGTAGTATTGATGTATTTAAAGAATATAGGAAAATATACTTACATTATATGTAACCAATATGTAATTTTACATAAAAGAGTTGATAAAGTAGTATATTTGGATATACGCAGGGAGTCCTAGAACAGTTCCTCCAAAGATACTGAGGGACAATTGTTTATATGAACCAAAATCTTACTATTGGCCCAGCCGCAAAAAAGGATTTCATCGTACTATTGACTTATTCAGTGAACTACCATCACTTAATATACTGACACATTTAAAAAGTTGAAATATAATATAAAAAAGAACAATATATTGTATTTCAAATCAATAGAGGACATTTTTTGTTAATGTCCTAATAGAGGACATGAGTTTGTTAATACAAACTCAGTTTTGAGTTTTACTTACATGGGAACTTTCTTGATACTTTTCAGAGCCTAAAACAGGCTGAAAACTGTTTCTGCTCAAAATTCTAGACTAGTAAAACCTGATGAATGATTAATTACAATGATCTATAGTTGATTGGTAAAGTACTTGTCTAGCCTGTGTGTGGCTCTGACTCAGATACTCAGCACTGGAAAAAGTAAAAAATTACAACTAGGAACTACATAGATACTTTTAAAAGACAACAGATATTATCTAGAAAGTATATTCATAAGTTCAACAGGCTACAAATTTTATGAGACACAAATGTATACATTTTCAGTAAACTTCTTGGTTCCCAAAATATATATGTTGCTTCTGTCTACACTGTAGCATTTCTGCTTGCTGAAATCCTTCATCTGTGCTAGCCTGTTTGTAGTTACTACACTACAAACTCATGCCACTTGAAAATAAAGGTAACAAAGTTTTCTTCATCAACAGCCTGTAGGCTCACAAAATTGAACCTGCTCTTATCTGCCTATGCTCATTTAGCCCACCAAGAAGTCTTTATTAAAGCTGAGGCATCAGGCAGTCAAAGTTCATTAATACCATTTATATAATCTCTGCAGTTTCAATTAACTCAGCAAGACATTCTACTACATGATAACAGTCTCATTAATTCAATAAAATCCCATAACTATTAACAATATGGTCGATGTTAAACGGGGTGTCACCTACTACAAAATAATAGCTTTAACAGCTTGTGATGAAACTCAAGGTTTTGTCTCAGCCTTAATATGGTAAATAGTCCTTCTACAGCGAGGTATTGCTTCTTGGTAAAGATTATAGGATTTTAAACATAACAGGAATAATTAAGTCTTTTTCCATGAAATCCAGTAGTATGCTAATACCATTTTCTTATTCCATAATTGACAGGCTCTGTCTAAATTACCAATAATCTTATCTTCTGTATTTTTCATATAAAAATGTGGTGGTTCACATATATCAAAAATGGCACAGTGTGATGTTATTGTTTCCCTTGTCCCAGTAAAACTGTTTGTTAATATAAGACTTTCTTGATTTATTTTTTTCTTTTTCTAAAAAAAAAAAAAAAATAGGAAACAATGTTTAACTTGGGAAACTTAATACTGATTTAATTCCCTATCATTACAAATCTTTTACTGTAAGGAATTTTTCAAGTATTTGAAAGAAGAGTAAGAGACCTAAGGACAACAGCCAACACAATGACAAATATTCTGAGCTACTGAAATGATAAATGATGTGGAATTATTTACTCCCAGACTTCATACTATGTGAGTTAGTAACATTGCATAGTTCAAGCCATTTAGAAAGGTATCTTCTGTTACTTAGAGACTTTTTCTGCCTAATCTTTTTCATTTGCTTTCAGTCTTTTGATTTATATATGCCTTTCAGATAGTCTATTTTGTATGCAAGGACATTTTCCAACTTGAGATTATACAAGTATCTTCCTAAATCTTTTCCCACTATTTTTATCTTACATGGTTATATCATTAGTCCATCTGAAATTTACTCTCCAATAATGGTATAACCTTGTTCCTAGTTAGAAAATCAATCTTAGCAAGTAAACATCCTCATCCCTATTTTGTATTATTATATAATTGGACCTGTTTCTAGATTTTTTCCACCGATCCACAGGTCAGTTCTCTAACACTAACTGCATTATTTTGATCTCTAAAATTTCTTCTACATTTTCCCCTGATAATAGAGATCATGCCTAGGATGTTGTGCATACCAAGTATATATCCCAAAAGTGTAACAAAGAAAAAAAAAAAAACCTCAATTCCCAATCACAGAACTTCTATAGATAGAAGTTTTACAAAAATGTTGGAGAAGATGTGGAGAAAGGGAATTTTCACATGCTGCTGTTGGGCCTATAAATTAGTAAAGCTATTATGGGAAACTTATGGTAAATCCTCCAGAAAGTACAAATAGATCTATCATACAATGCGGCAATCCTAATTCTGATTATGCATCCAAAGTAAATCAACTCAGTATGTCCGAGAAACATCTGCAATCACGTTTGGTGTTACATATTCACAATAACCAAGAAATACAAACACTCTATGTGATCATCAACAATGAATACATAAAGAAAATGTAGTATATGTAGAAAATATTCAACCATAAAAATAGATGGAATTGGGAGTCACTGTGTTAAGCAAAATCAGTCTCAAGAAAATTATAAATATTTCAGCAGGAAAAAATAATTTTAGTATTTGGTAGGCACTAATTTATTTATTTATTGACTTAAGCAAGAATTGTTTCTTTTCTTCTTGTAAAAAAGAACATGGCAGCAGAGACAAGGAGCTAGAAATTGGCTTAGAGATGTTCTATATAGACAGTTGCTTGGGATATAGGCTAACTACTACCACGGTAGGGTAAGACAGAGAAAGGACTATAGGACTTTGACACCTTCTGCCCCTGACAAGAGCAGGCTAATTGGATGCACAGCTACAATTCAGAGACGGGGAGGAGAGGGCTAATGAGCCCCCATTCCAAATTTCCTGCATCAAGAGTGGGAAAAGGGAAAGGGCACAGCTGTGAAGTTACCAATGGACGTGTCCCATGAGTTGAAGAAAACCTACTCTCACTTCACTGCCTGTTCAACAGATACAGGTACTGCTAATAGGCTCAGCGGTACAAACAGCAGAACACTGTTAGGGAAGATGGGAAGAACAAAGAAGTCCCCTTTGAAGAATGGTTTAAAATCCACCTGATAAATTTTCATATTTAGAAAAATGTCTAGAATACATTTCAATCTACACAGTATTAGTATCCATTATGGCCTGGCAGTGAGTGGGGTCCTGCCTAAGAAGCACTCTCATCTCCTAGCTTGTGGGAGACCCATTGTTTTAACAAAAAGGGCAACAATGACCCCATGTCCCACTCTTCATCCCTTCAGCCTTAAGAATTTCATCATCTTATGAGGAAATGAAAAGAAGCTGCTACTGGCAGAGGAATCACCACATTTCTGCTTCACACACTCCAGGGATCATCTGTGGGAACTCTATAGGAAGGTTATCTCTGACTTTTGTTGGAGTTCTGATCTAAAACTGGCTTTAAATCATGCTGTGTGCTCTTTGTTCTTGTCTTTGTTAAAGAAAAAAGGAAAAGAATGGATATAGTTAAACACCTTATTCCCCAAAAACCCTTTGAAACAATTCCAGAGGTCTTCCTCCAGGAGCCAGAAGGAAGAAAAAAAGTGGACTGTGTGCCAGCCAGTCTGTCCTGAGGAAATTAGCAGTCTGGCTCCTGGAGAAAGATGTGCAAAGGGTGAAAAACCACAAAGTCTAACAACCCACTTCTTGCACAAATTATGGGAGTTTGAAATTCAACTTTGGAAGCCAAGGTTGGCCTGTCAAAACTCCATGCCAGCCAACTGTAAAGTGGAAGAGCTGCTGCTGTTCTCAGCTATCCAAAGCATGGTATCCACTGAGAAGACGGGGAAGAACGACTTCTTCCTCATGAAGGAGATGGAGAGCTCCCCAGCTCCATATTAAACTCCTTTTTTATTTTGTTTTTAAGAACAAGAAGAAAACTGAGCTTTCCTGGGCAAGGCTGACACTTTGATATCACAACAGAGACAGTGGGGATTTGGCTTAGGTCTTCTGAGACTTGTTGCTCATTAGGGGAACTTCTTGTCTGTAATTTCAAGCTTTTCCAAGGTTGAACTCGTATTTAGGATTTGTAAATTCTCTCCAACTACATGTGAGAAACTAGGACTAGGAACAAGTGAGTCCTCACTAACTTCCTCCACACGTGGAGTCTGAGGTAAACACTGGAATGAGCAAGCGACCTCTGGCTCCACTTCTGCCTTTGTTGTCACTTGTGCTCCATGCTCCCCACAGAGACAGCCAGCTGGTGAGTATGCAGGAGTTGGTAGGCACTAGATTTAAAATGACTCTGCCTAGTTTTCACAAAACACAGGTTTAGAATAGTACTAGATTAATACATTTCTATACTTACATGGAAAAGAAAAATATTGGTAATAAACCATGTTACTATTTTTGTATTTATTCAATTCTTGCTTTATATCTATCTATTGACAACATTTATAATGTTCTTCAGATAGCTTTCACATGTTTATGGTCAGGTTTATCTACTGACATTTTATAGTTTGTCACTAGGAGTGAGATTTTTTTTTCCTCATTTCCAAGGTAAAAGAACTATTGTCAACATGCAGTTAATATAAAGACATGATACTAGTATTTAAAATACTAATTATTTTCTTTGGTTATTTTATGTATATAATAACAAATGTATTATTTAGTATAATTATAATCTAACATGGTTTACCATTTTTAAATCTATAAGGCTTATTTTAAATTACTTTTGCCAGAGGTGCTTTCTGTTACATTAAAGTCCAGTGATCATCAATATGATATAACTTTTGATTTTTTTAAGACTTATTAATTTGGTTTGCATTTAATATATAACTGGAGGCTGGGTATATATCTTAGTGGTATAGTGCCTGCCTGGCAATAATGGGGTTGTGAGTTGGACCTCCAGTACCAATATACATATATATATATATACACACACACACACACACACACACACACACACACATACATATATATATTATATCAAATTGGGAAATAGAAATGATTCAAGTATATACCTCTTTACTGACATAGAATGAATTTTCATAGAAAACCTAGATACATCCTTACATGACATTGCTAAATTGCCCAGATTAGCTTTAAACTTAGAATCCTCTTGCATTGCTGGAATTACAGGCTTGTGCTGCCATTTCCAGCCAAAACAACCAAAACAAAAAAACAAGTTTTATTACCGGTAAGTTTTAAAAAGTATCTGATGATGTTTTACATGACATGTCACATATGCTGTAAAGTCTGAAAAATTTATTACTAGACTGGCTTTAAAGACACTATCCACAAAACAATTCCCACAAGTTGAAAATAGACTGAACATGATATAGAAGACAATTTGTGGAACATCCTATAATAAGGAAGAAGCATACTTGCTTCAGAGAACTTACTTTTGTAACCACAGAGCTGACAAGTAGCACTTGGATTACATTAGCAAATAAAGGTTGCATTATTGATTTATCATTTGTCAAGCTGTACAGAAAAATTTAAGTCAATGCATGAGAACTGTAAGATATTTTCATTACCTGTTTATAAAGTAACTGCTCATTTTCTCTAGCGTAACAGAAAAGAACATCTGTAAGAATTTTTCTCACATTGTCTTGTTGGAAAAACTGCATTTCAGGAAACCTGAAAAGAGAAAATACAGTATTGAAATGGACAGTTTTGAGGATTTCCTCAAGGGCCTGGGATTTGGCTCAGTGGTATAAGTGTCTGCCTGACAACTGTGAAGTTATCAGTTCAATCCTCGGTACAAAAAAAGAAAAAAGAAAGAAAAAAGCACCCTCAAACTCTTTCTGCTAAGAGGGCTGCTCACCTCAAGGGCTGCTTTGAACTATTTGCCATGCAATTAATACCAACAATGGAATTTTAAAAATAGGTGACATAGGGAAATGTCATATCCCAGAAGTAAATGACATCCTTCAACATTTATACATTTCAATATTTTTTACAAGTATAAGACTCTGAACATGTGAATGTAGCAGTTTTAGAAATGAATTTTAGCCTACCTATTTCGAGACAGTTTTCTTTTTTTTTCTAACTAGAAAGTGATTTTGTAAATATGCCAACTTTTTCAAGAAATCAGTCATTCCTTTTACTTGACAAAAATAATTGTGATTTAAATTATACATGACCACTCTCAGTTTTACTGAATTAAGCTACATCCCTCAAATAGAAGAAAACTTAACAAAAATTACTCGAATGTTCTCTAAATCAAAAGTTCCACCATTTTTATAAGTGCTTTGAGGTAAATGTATAACAGAAGAAAGGGCAGAGAATATGAAAATGTGAAAAGTTTTAAGAATATAAAGAATAATAAAACTGTAAGAAGTCAAAGAAGTATAAGGACACAATACACATAATGATATAATATACTAGCACTGAATAGTATAGCATTATCCCTATTGTCTAAGGGAAAACAGTTTTGTTAGGACAAAAAAGATCTGACAGAATTCTGGAAAGAGGAGAAACATGAAATATAAATGGGAAAGCTAACTAAATCAGATGAAAAGCTATGAAGATATAAAAGACAGTGAATAATTCAACTGTGCAGCAATGCAGAGTGATTAGTAATCAGAAGGAAAAGAGAATTCCATGAAGTACTGCCAGTTGGGCACAACAGTATGGAAGAAGAAAAGGTGCAGCAAATCTGGGAAGAGCTCTGAATATTGAATTTACAACCAAGGAAACAATTCAGTGTTTCTAAGTTTTTGAACAGTGAAGTGATAAACAAGAGTTTAGGATTCTAAGTAGAAGTAAGTCTGAAAGTAGAAAGTTCACAGAAAGGACATTCAATAAAATGAAGAGAAGTGAAAGATTCACAAACCCAAAGAGAAAAGCCTGACAAGTAGCAAATTCATGTGGCATTATATCAGCTATGTGTTTTTGAGCAAGATACTATAAACTGCTTCGTCTATTAAATCTGGCTAATGATACTGGTATTGTGACCAAGATGAAATTACATGAAAACAGTGAGAACAGTATCTGAAAAGTAGTGGATGTTCAGAAATAAAAGTTATTATTAAGCAATGAGTAATAGTACTTTAGGTAAATAATGAAAAGGTACATTAGTTGGCTCTAGAAATAAAAAAGTGGGGAGGGAGAGAAAATACAAGAAAACAGAAAAGACAACCTACAGCATAAAGCCAAGTGGTATTACTGAAACAGAAAAATATTCCTCACTGAAGTCCTTTAGAAAGGAATAATATGGGCCGTGAATTTAGCTCAGTGGCATAGCACCTACCTGGCAAGTGCAAGATTGTGAGTTCGATTCCAAGTACCTAAATAAATAAATATTAAAGGAATAGTACTTGCTTTACCTCCCTTTATATAGAAGGCTTCTGCTTTCTCTTTCTGGAAATCTGAAGTGCTTTCTGCTTCATTCTGATCCTGGATTGGCTCTTTATGAGAGTTTTAACTGTCTCTGTTTTAGGCTAGGTTTCTGAGTGATCATGCTAGAGACTGATGACACACATTGTCTCTGAAACTAATTCTTAAGATGAATGGAGTTCCACTTTATTTGCATTTGTTCACTTAATTTTTGCTTGAAATTCACTTTCATATGCAACTGTCACCAGACCTAGAATTTTTATCTTTTCAAAAGTAGCAAGGAAGCCTGTTTGGGGAGCCAATCAGCAATCTAAGGACTTGGTCAAGGTGACTCCACACCTCTGCACCCACCTTAATGCAATGGCCATCCAAACACTCCCTACCCAGGAATGCTAGTTCAAGTAGAAGTGCACAAATTGACTTCTTCCAAAAAAGGCAAAATTAACCTGAAGATAGTTCAAAATATACCTAATACATCATGGAAAACAAAGAAGTTCTAGAAAGATTTCAAGTGGACTAAAATAAGAATGATATACATGTAAATACATTAAATGATATGTGAAACAAAAGACATTTACCAAAGCCTTAGAAAGTCAAACATATCAAAGCAAAGTCAGAATGAAAGAAAGATAGATAAGTGGTTTCTAAACTGTTATACATAAACTAGGGGCAGGCAACTCAGCCATTAAAGTAACAATATAGTAGTACTTTTGAGAAACGAAATTTCTTCCTCTTTTTCATTTATATGACTTAAATGTATCCCTCTCTCTAAAGTTAATCACCTGGCCTACCAATCATATTTGAAAATTTTCTTTGTAAACTGATAATAAAAACAATTTAGCATTTGCAACATGAATGGATCACAATAGAAAGTTTTGCAAACTAATTTACTTGGGAACAAATACCCATGAACAATGTGGTAAGAGCTTAACATCTAACTACTAAAAATGTGAATTATATACTGATGCATACTTTCACTTAAATGCACACTAACCACATACAAATTAAAAGTTAGAGATCTACAAGAATTAAAATACAGATAATTTAAATTGCCCATTTTTAGCAAAAACCCAATCAACTAAAAATGTATATAAGGCAGACATAACATATTCATGCAAGTACACAACATCTACAATTCTACTCTATAATGCTGAAGTACTAATTTATGAAATTTCATGATATCCTTTTAAGGAAAATATTACTTGTTTCTTAAATTCTCATGAAGACTCCACAGCATCAAATAAATAAGGTAGGAAGATACTGAACAGTGCTGAAAAAGAAATGTTTTATTTGAATACTATACTTTTTTGTTTTAGTGGTATAAGGGATCAAACTTACAACCTTGTGCTTACCAGGTAAGCACTTAAGCCACTGAGCTAAATCCCAGGCCCAAGAACTGTTTTATGTGAAACAATAATAAAGAACACAGACTACTATATTGAACCAAGGTGGATCAACAATTATTGAGATTTTTGAAAACTCAACAATATTAAAAAATTTCATGCCGAAAAACTAAAAAAGATTTAAAACTTCAGAAAACACTACGTAAAGAAGAAAATCAGAAATAGAACTAGAAGTTCAGGATTCATTCAATCCAAGATACCCAACAAAAAACAAAATTTTACTATTTTCAATCACACTAACTCTGGACTAAAAAACAAGTTTTGTTATAATCATAAATAAGTAAGAAAAGCTATTTTTATGATTGGCCATCAAATGAAAATGGGATTGTGAGGTGATGATCGGACTCAGAACACAAAGGACAGCAAAAAGAAATATTCTGTGATGACACTCAGAGCCCCACCCCCACAAAGTCCTACATTTTTCTTGATGGAGAATTTTAGGATTAACTCTATTGATTAGTAGTTGCTCAGAAATGTGAAGGAATTAAAGAAATAATATATACTACAAAATAATACAAATTACCAAAAGCCCATACTGCTTCTCATCTTAATAGCATACTTGTAAAGAAGAAAAATCACATTTATATTAGTTATAAAAAACACTAAGAAATAAATGTGGAATGTCATGCTATTTACTAAAAATGGGGCATTAAATGGATGTATAACACCTGCATTTATTTTTTAGGAGTATTTCTACTGATGAATTACTTATATTTTATTATATTATGCATTTTGTACTTAAAAGGAAAATAAAATGTTTAATTTTAGAATAAACAACATTTCAATGTCAACAGTTTGTTTCCTTATAAGATCTAACAAACAAAAGAAATAAATTCCTATGTGAACTACAATGAAAATACAAACAAAATCCTACCATAAGAATAATTTTTACTTCAATTATCACACCTCCCACAGTCTTCACATATGTATTGTTTTTATACAAGTATTTCTTACACAGATAGCACGTGTGTTTTGTTTACGTATTTTTTTAGCAGGACATACTTGTCATCTCTCCGGTCTTTCTGTTTTGTCAGGAGGTTCTTATATTATATAATGGGTATTTCAAAATATCAATGAAATAGAATACTAAATAAGTACTGAGTATGTAGAAAAAAAATAAACATCAACATTTCAACATCAACTGCTTATTTGCTTACTAAATCTAGACAATAACAACAGAAATAAATTTGTATGTGAACTACAAGGAGAATACAAATATAACTCTACTGCAAAAATAATCTTTATGGAGACTGTGGGAAGATGAAGGATTGATAGGTAGCACAGTAGAGAGCCTCTCTGAGAAAAACAACTCAGAACCTAGAATCTAACACCATGGAGAAGACCAGATGAAAACAGAGGGATTCTCACAACCCAGGAAAACTGAGGAAAAAGAAAAAAGAAGGAAAGAAAGAAAAACTGTGGGTGGAAGGCTGGAGCTAGATGCATGCTCATTGGAGTGGTCTTGCATTGTGCTGGGTGCCTTGGATGACTCACGGTTGTGCTGATGTCATGGTCATGCTGAAATCAAGGCTTGGTGAGCCCAAGGCCCTTGGTGGGAGGATGCGCTGCAATAGAGCATGGAACTGGCAGGGAAATCTGCACTAACCCATGGTGAGTGCTAGGAATTCAGTCCTGCGGATGGGGTCACCAGTGGACGACATATTGGAGTTGGGCAGGAAGGGCCTGAAGCCGGAACCGCAGTGGTGTTAGCCAGCTGCTCCTGCAAAGGCGGACAGGTGGGATCTGCTTGGGCTGGGTCATGCCCCTGGTTGGGACCCAATAGCCAGGAATGAAACTGTCCCTAACCTGTGTCATCCGCAAAGAACAGACTAATGTGGTGAAGGCACTCGCTGGTTCACTGGCTTAGAGGAGAGGAGCCAGCCCACATCATCCCTG